CAATTTTCTTAGGTGGGAAATTTATGTATTGATTTGTGTTTAGAAGATTTGTAAAGGAGTGGTGGAAACTGTTCAACTCAAATTGTTCGTTAAAATTCCTGAAAAGCATTCACCATAGAGGTTACATGATAGAGGTTACTTAGTATATGCTTCTATATTTTGCAAAAATATGCTCATTGCCATATTTATTTGATTACATTCTTTGTATATATCCAAGTATACGACATGGAGAAAGGAAATGGGAGGCTCAAGGATACAAAGTCGGATCCTCGCTCCAGGAGGAAGACAAGCTTGAGCTAGCCAAATCCCTCATTGAGAAGGCTATGTCTAAGGAAGTCTCATTACTGCTTCCTACTGATGTTGCGATTGCAAACAAGTTTTCTGATGATGCTAACAGCGAGGTGGTTAGCACAACTGAAATTCCAGATGGGTGGATGGGGTTAGATGTGGGACAAGACATAATCAATACATTTGGTGAAGCTTTGGATACCACCCAAACAATCATATGGAATGGGCCAATGAGTGTTTTTGAGTTTGAGAAGTTTGCTACTGGCAGAGTGGCAATAGCAAAGAAATTGGCAGAGCTTAGCGGGACAACAATTATTGGAGGTGGAGACTCGGTTGCAGTGGTTGAGAAGGTCAAGTTGGTAGAAAAAATAAGTCATATCTCGACAGGAGGTGGTGCTAGCCTGGATCTGCTCGAGGGTAAATTGCTTCCTAGTCTTCTTGCACTTGATGATGCTTGAAAGAAATAGCAGTTGTGCATTTCCTCCTTAATTGATTGATCCGATGCTCTTTGATTTATATTCCTTGACATAGACATTAATCTTAATCAATAATGGATCTTTAAAATACAAAACCAAACTCCAGATTGTAAGCTGCAGCTTCTTTGGGTCATTTTAAGTTTAAGGAATCATAATTGAGCATCAAAGCGCATGAGTTTACTTAAAAAAAAAATCCTTGTATACGACATATGGTTTACTTTCTGTTTCCCTCCTTCTGGACACTCTTTAGCTCTTCAATATTCATACAAATCCCCTTACTGCACATTTCCTCTTTTATTTTTCAGGTGAGGTGCCATAGTTTCATTGTTGTCACCGGAGCTACTGCAAAACGACTCAGATTACCTTGAGAAGAAGAATTTTGGAGTAGAGGAATTAGTGCATGTGCTATTTGTGATGGCACATCCCCGCTCTTTAAAGGCCGGTTCCTTGTTGTGGTTGGAGGTGGTGATACAGCTACTGAAGCAATATACTTTACCAAGTATGCACGTCATGTGCATTTATTTGTCCGCAGAGACCATCTTAGAGCATCAAAGGCAATGCAAGATAGGTAAATAACATGAACAAATAACATTCTCATGTTATTTTGTTTTGTTTTTAAAATGCTTTGATTAAATAGAGCTCATACACATGAGAAATAGCTGCTTATGGTGACCCCTTGGGCTTGTTTTTTAGGATATTTTAGAGGGGAGGAAAGGGATGATTGACTTACCTTTTACTAATATAACTACTTGTTTTATTAGTAAAAGGGGTCAAGGGGGAGGAAAGGGATGATAACTTACGGTTTTTTTTTCAAAGCGCAAGAGTGCTTGTTTTTGCAGGTAGGTGTTTGGGTTAAAGTTGCTACCTATGCTTTAAGCAATGTTGAGCAATGGATGGCACCCAAAAAGGTAAGATTTCCTACTTCCTCCCAATGCTGAAAGATTTAACATAGCTTTATTATTATTAGTCTTTGAATGGAAACATAGCTGTATTACTATGCTCTTCTCTAATTGAGCTAACAAGCATCTTCCCTGCTTTGATCTAGGAATGTGTGCATTCTTTTTAATTTCTTGAACACCTTAATACTTTCACGTTCTCCCAAATTCCTTTAACATAGCTATATTAATATTATTATTATTATTATTATTATTATTACTATTATTATTATTATTATTATTATTTGGGTCGTGTATTTGAGAGTTTTGAAAAAATCGATTAGCATGTAAGTTCCGCCATAGCTACTGCTTGCAAAGATGATGACATTATTTTTTGTATACTCCGTATTGAGTAAAAGAATGACGGCAGCTGCCATAGTTCCTGCAAAAGTGCTAAGTATATTGATGACTAAGTTACTTTTTAGTTAAATACTAACTTACTTTTCTCAAGTACTGATATAAAAAATTGACCACAGAGTATTTCTTTTGTTTCAGATTTTTTGCTACAAGTAATGATGGCACAGTCTTGCAAAACTAATTAAAATTAAAGTCAACCCTTTTTACTTATAATTTCATATGCTCTGTGCTCGCTAGCTAATTGTTTTTAATTTTCCCCTGTTATAACTTTATCTAGATTTAGTTCAGTTTCATATTTTGATCAAATTCATTGTTTCTTCTATTTTGGGAATGGATTTAATAGCTTAGTTGAGGGGTAGTTTCTCCTTCTTGGACACTCACTTTGTGTTTAGGATGAGACCATACGGTTAGAGGGATGCAAGGAGAACAAGTCTGTTTCATTTTTTTATGAGATTAGAAAGATCAAATACTTGGAGGATTTCACATATTAGTCCACCTAGGCCCTTATTATACTCATTAGAAAATTATATAAAATATACTCCGTATTAAGCAACTGGTATATATCTTTAGATTGCTAACACTACATGTCTCTATATTATTTCTTTTTTGTTTCTAACATTTTCAGCCATTTGGGATTAATAAACTATATTAAGCAACTGGTGACCAATTGCATGTATTTATTTTTGCCTCTTCTTCTTTTCCCTCCACTGTTGCCGGATGTGGGCTTTGGTTTAATTTTGAGCGATGTACAACTTTGAGTTTGTTTAAACTGTTCATCTTTATATTGTCTCACTATGAGATTTTCTAAAGTAGATTTTGCATGTACTAGAAAAAATGGACTTTTAAGAGTGTCTACTTTGATTATGATGAAAAAAGTCAAGCAGTTGTGGGTGGTGATGATAGAAATGCAGGTATTGGTTAAAGCTTTTCAATGATAGGTATTTTTATTGTTCTGTTTTCACAAAATTAGCTATGATTTTTCATTCTCCATGAGTTGTTCTCCTTGAGTTTAATAGAACTGGAACACATTTTTATTGTTCTGTTTTCGCAAAATTAGCTATGATTTTCATTCTCCATGAATTGTTCTCCTTGAGTTTATTAGAACCTGGAACACATCTTAAATTGTTCTCCTTGAGTTTATCATCTCAATAACTATGTTTTTTATTTTGCTCTCTTACTGGTCCTTCAGCATGCTTCAACAGTGAATTTCTCGTACAAGCAGCAATTTGGTCTTTTCAGAAAGCAAAGGCCAATCAACTAGCTTGATTTACTGGTGCAATTTTCAAGCCAGAAAGAGTTGTGGTATCTTTCGGGCAGTTTTTATGCCAAGTTCGCAAATATGCTAAATGTTCAAGGCTTCTTCTCGTAGTTGATATTTTGGCACATGCGCTTTTATTTTAGGCTGCATTTTGTTCTTGTTTAATTATTTCATAGTACTTATTACTTCGGGGTATGCCCCTATGAATTGTGTAGTATATACATTCACATTTATGTGAGAATTTGAGATAATAAATAAAAATGTTTGAAATTTTGGTTATTTACTAGTATTAAATTATATATATTACAATTAACGTATTATGTGTATGTTTTCATATCATGGAGTTTTACAATGCTATAGTGTCACTGAATTTTGTGATACCATAGTGTCACCGAGTTTTATGATATCATAGTGTCATCGAATTTTGTGATACTAAAGTGTCATAATTTAGTGACACTAAAAAAGTGTCACTATAAGTGTCACTAGCCCCCACCTTCAGCGACACTTTTTTAGTGTCGCAGAAGCTTTTAGTGACACTAATTTGGTGTCACTGTAAGACATTTTTCTAGTAGTGAACCTGGAATTTGGAGTTTTTGTTTGTGTTGGGTGCATGTTTTGTGACATATAATTTAAACTTGTAGTGTTTGTATTTTGGCCATGGCTATACGTTATTTACTTATGTTGTTGGCATTAAACACTTTATGTATGTTTGTATGTTTAGGGATGGTTTTTGAAGTATTTCCAGCTATGTTTATTGGCAAACAAGCCTCTAAAGCATACATATTTTAAAAAATGCTACCAAATTTTACATGGTCGGTTATGGTCGGTTATGCGGTTACCGCCCGAAACCGATTTCAGTATTTCGGTCGGTTAAACAGGTATTGTCGGTCGGTTATCGGTCGGTCATAAGAGAAATTTTTAGTAGTCGGTTATTCGGTTATCGGTCGGTTATTTAACCGATCGACCGAATGCTCACCCCTATTCTAAAGTACCATTATATAAGTGCAATATAATGAAAATTATCTTAGTTATGGGAGATCATGGCTACCTTAACAATTAGTTTCAATTCATTCAATTAAGTATCCTTGTCATACTTTCCTCCTTTTATTTACATTTTCCAACACAATACCAACCACACAACTATACTTACTTCTCTTAAAATCATACTCCGTATCATATTACTCCCTTTTGTTTCAATCTTAGGTGTGGATTTAGTAATTTATGAGTAATAATCAGTCATCGTCCTTGATGACATCATACATGCACTACTAGAATGTGTGTAATTAAGAAGGAAACATTTTCCTATGTAAATATGGTATTTTCCTTTCTAAATGGGTTAGCTACAAATTTAGATAGGACTTGTGTCTCCTCTACAAAACCTCCCTCGGTAATCTAGAATTCCTCTCTGCATTCCTTTCTAGCATATGAAGTGATGAAAAATATTTAATATTAGAAAGGACGGTAGTTCCTTTTAACTCTTCCTCCTCATTTATATAGAGAGGAACCTGGTTCCATTCTAAAAAAAAGGTGGGGCATAAAGAATAAACCAAGCAAGGAACCAAATTCCTCTCCAATTATTTTGTTAATTACGTATATATATACACTCTGTAAACTAGAAAGGAACTATGTTCCTCTCAATTCAATTCGAAAATTCATGTATATATACCTGTATAATACACAATATATTAATGTTAAACAAAATATATTTTTTAAATACGAACCAGATTCATATAAATACTAAACCGTATAAATAAACATCAAACATTCCATTGAAATAGATTAGAAGTCCTTCAAGGCATATTATTCTGCATCACAAGTCAATTAAAAGATACTTGATAAAATTCAAAAATACAATTCCTTAAAAGGATTACAAAGTCACTGAATGAGATCATGTTCCACATCTTCACATCCATTTTCACCCCGGTTTGAATGAGTGTAGCTGTTATTGAAGATTGGTGAAGGTTGGGGCATCAACATGCTCATAAAAGATCCCGCTTGGGGTTGTTGTGGAGAAATATTTATGTAAGCACTTTGTTGATGGTGTGGAAGAGAACCCATGAAAGTACCTTGTTGCATATTTTGCCTTGGGAGCACATTCATATATGAAACTTGTTGCAATGGTTGTGTCATTTTCATAGACTGAATAATACCTTGCATTTCTGCTAGTGTAGCAGATGCAGATTCTTTAAACTGCACAAGTTCTTTATTAGTTTCTAAAAGAACACTATTGGACTTCTCAACCTCTTCCAGACGTTGTTGAAATAATTTGTCCTCGTATGATTGTTGTTGAATTTTCTGAGAAGTAGAGGCTGAAGGAAAGAAATAGACACTAGCTGAGGCAAAACCAGTAACTTTTCCTCCTTTCTTTCGGCCACCAGCAGCCTTCAACAATAGATCTTGAGACTTGGCATTCGGCTCCTTTGACTTTAGTTCTTCATATGAGTCCTATTAAAAGTATAATTTCCGGGCAGAATAAGAGAAATTTAATTCACCTTTTTACAATTTTAATTTGATGAAAGGGAGTTAGTACATTAAAAATTAAACTAATTCATTAAATTACACTCACATAAATTTGTTTAGCTTTTGGTGTAACAAATGTACCGTCTGCTTTTGTATGTGTTTGCAGATATACTATTTCCGGGGGTGCTGTCTGGTTATGCTTTTCTTCCTGCGAACATTAGCACTATGTGTGTAATTTAAGGGTTACTAAAATATTAAAGCAGTAAAAAGTGCAATTATAAAATATACATGCTTACATATCTTCGGCAGTACTCTGTAATGGGTATAGATCCTCCAGTGTGCAATGCCATACCCACATCAGAGTTCCTATTTTTTTTATTAGTATTGCATTTGCTAATGAATTTTGCATCCCTCCATTGCTCAAGTAGCTGAACCCATATTGGAAGAATAATCCATTCTGGACATTGCTTTGTCTTACGAGCACTAGATAGTGCACGTGATAAACCTTCCGATCCTTTCTTGTTGAAATTCTTTGTAATGCGTGAATGATATTCCGGCCTCCAATAATACTTCTCCTACAGATTTAATTACACAAGACCACAATTTTGTAACATAAAGTAATAAAACAATGTATAACAAGTTATTGAAAATACATGCATCACCTTCCTGTTTTAGTGTACATTGAGTTCATTGAAAGAAAAGTTAGCAAGTTAGCAAATTGAATATGGCACTTACTAGTTTCTATAAACAAGAAAAATAATTCAGTAGATATTACATTGAATAAACTCAACCAAGCTTTCTTCAATCCTGGTGAAGCACGTGTATAAGAGCGAATCGGTTCATCAAACTTCTTCGTAATACACGGCATGACAAAACGATTTGCCTTGCATGGAATAAAGCTGCAAACATTCACTAAGTTATAAACATATATAGAAGAAATATTTTTAATCATTTACAAAAAATGGATATAACTATGACTACCTATTAATTCTTAATTGAGGTACCAGATTAAGTTTGATTGAGTGCAATAGAAGATAGTTTAATACTTAAGTTACCCAGAAATGCCGTCAGGAACAATCTCGATCTCAGGTTCTTGGTTTACAAGGGGAGATAGTGGTGGAGTAGATGGGGTAACCAGGGTAGTAGAATCATCTGAGCTGGTTGCTGCATTTTGAGATGGACATGAAGTAGAAGAGCTTGGATCTCGTGGTTGATAACGATTTTGAGCATTGATTACTGCAGGTGGGTAAGTGATGATTCGTGATATGTTTCCATTCTGAATCTCGTGATGCCTGGATAGCCAAATCAATTTGTTCACTTGTGATGCCTGGATTAAGAGCCCTCAACCCATCTTCATACGACCTACAAATAACCACTTTCACAAAATTATGAATATCATTAGTACATAGTGTAGAGGATGAAAAGAAATTCTTACGTTAAGTATGGTTTGACTTCCGCACAGTTCAGTAATACGTGTTGATGTGCTGCAAAAAACTCTTTACTATTCAGATATCGAAATCTAGTCGCACCCAACCCACGACCTGGACGATTAAAGACTGACAGGGTCGGCTGAAGACTGACATAGATGCCACCGTCATCCAAATTGCGACCAACTTTTGTTCTCCAACTCTCTACATGAGACTCAAAATAATATGAAGCAAAATTTGTCGCCTCTTCAATTAAATATGCCTCACATATAGAGCCTTCTACCCGGGCTTTGTTTTTTACCTTTCTTTTAAGGTAGTTAAATAATCTTTCAAAAGGATACATCCACCGGTATTGAATAGGTCCACCCATTAATGCTTTGTAAGGAAGATGAACAGGTAAATGCTCCATGCAATTAAAAAATCCTGGAGGAAGAAATTTCTCCAACTTACAAATGATTATTGGGATGTTTTGTTGTAGTTGTCTCACTTTATCCACATGTAAGTTTGCCGAACATAGATCTCGAAAAAATTGACTAAGTTCAGTAATAGCTTTCCAATGACTGGGTGGTAAGAAACTAAAAGCAACCGGCAGGAGACACTCCATGAAAACATGACAGTCATGGCTTTTCATTCCATGCAGTTTGCAATCTTCTAAATCAACACAAGAAGTCAAATTTCCTGCATAGCCATCTGGTGTACAAAGGTTTTGTATCCACTCATACACTACCCTCTGTTGATTATTGTCACAAGTAAAACTTGCTTTTGGTTTCAATAACTTTCCATTATTGTCAACCCTTAATTCGATTTCTGGCCGCGAGCAGTGCTCCTTTAAATCCATCCTTGATTTCACACCATCTTTGTTGTTTTTTGTTCCTTTGGTATCCATAACCGTATGGAACACATTATCAAAAACATTTTTTTCGATGTGCATCACATCGAGATTGTGTCGAATCATATTATCCTTCCAATATGGTAGTTCCCAAAAGATACTTCGCTTGGTCCAGTTATGTGTAGAACCATAACCTGGTATCTTCGAACCCTGTTGTTCAGTTATTTGTGGAATGTATGAAACACGTTCCAAAACTGCTTCACCACTCAAAATGTGTGGTGGATATGCCTTTTCGATCCTTCCTTTTACAAAAACATCTTTGTTTCTTCTAAATGGATGATCCATGGGCAGGAATTGACGGTGACAATCAAACCATGTGCACTTTCCTCCATTCTTTAGCCAAAAAGATTTTGAGGATTCCATACAATATGGGCATGACAGTTTCCCAGCAGTTTGCCAACCTGATAGCATCCCATATGCGGGAAAATCACTTATTGTCCACATTAAAGCTGCTTTCAATACAAAGTTGTGCTTTAAGGATACATCATAAGTGACAACACCTGTTTCCCACAAACACTTCAACTCATCAATCAATGGTTGTAAGTACACATCTATTTTAGCCTTTGGGTTATGCTTACCAGGAATAATAGAAGTCAAAAACATATAAGGAGTCGTCATACACATTGAGGGTGGCAAGTTGTACACTGTAACAATAATGGGCCAACATGAATATGATTTGGCAAACATACCAAATGGAGAGAATCCATCTGAACAAATTCCAAGTCTAACATTGCGTGGTTCTGAAGCAAATTGAGGGTACATTTGATCAAAGTGTTTCCATGCCTCACCATCTGATGGGTGACACATAACACTGGGCTCACGTTGACTTTCAAAATGCCACCTCATATGTTTAGCAGAACTCGGTGATGCGAATAACCGTTGTAACCTCGGAATAAGTGGTAAGTAGTGCATCCTTTTTCGAGGAACTTTTGAATTTGGCTTATAACTTTTTTTGAAGCGTGGCTCAAAACAAAATTTGCATTGTGCCAATGCAATATCCTCCTTATAATACAACATGCATCCATTCACACAACAATCAATTTTTTCATGACCAAGACCGAGTTTAGAGACCAATTTTTCAGCTTCATAGAAACTAGATGGCACATTATTTGGTGATGGCATTGCTCGATTGCAAGCATCGAATATCTCATCCATTGCTTTTTGTGCAATGTTATAGGATGACTTAATACTCATCATCTTAAGGGTAAAAGACAATTCAGTATCTGCTGTACATCCTGACCACAACGGTTGTTGAGCAGAATCCAATAACTCGTAAAATTGTTTGGCACTATCATGCGGGCCCTCAATGTCTCGATTAAGATAACTAGGTTCTTGGTTCAATCCAAAATTATCATAAATCATTGTTTCATACATGTTATCTCCATCCATATGGTTGTGAGATGTATCATCAAAATTTCCACTGGATTGTAAAACATCTTCACCATGGAAAATCCAACACCAATAGTTTGACTCAAAACCCCATTTGTAAAGGTGAAGTTTTACATCTCCTGGATTTTTATAACGGCGATTCCTACATTTTGTACAAGGACATTTAATAACATTGTTCTCAACAAAAGTTGGTTGTACACACGCGAAATCCACAAAATTATCCACTCCAGCTTTAAATTCATCTGTTAACCCTTTCTGACCGGGGTTCACTCGATTATACATCCAACGACGTTCATTTCTATAATCCATTGTTATCCTGAAATTTGGGGAAGAATCTTTATGGTTCAGTCTTGACATTATTGTTATAGACCAAATATTAATTACACAATAATAGTTTTCTCCACAAAATGAAAACGATATTAACTTGTCCAAATACATATACACATACTTTACTCATTTGATACTAAGAATGTTTTCAATTGGACTAAGAGCCCGTTTGGTAACATTGTTATTCAGCTTATCAGGCTTATCAACCATTGTTTTGCCAAACACGTAACTTTTGATTTCACACACAGAATGTGTAATAATAAGGGAAAAAAGGTTGAGTTTACTTTACTGGATGTTTTGGTAGAAGTTACTGTAGAGAATCATTTTAGCTATTTTTACATATAATTTTTTCTTTATTTCATTAATAAAATATATTTTAAATTTAATTTTTTCATAGATCAGCAGAATCAACCAATACAACCACTTAAGACAGAACTTCATAAATTTTACCATGATCATCCAATTCAATTAATTTCAGTGTTACGAGACGGGCTCTAAAACTTTCTGGTTTGGTTTGATCAAGTCTAATCTGGTATGGTCTAGTATGATTTAGTTTGGTCTAGTCTAAACTAGTCTGGTCTGCAATATGTCTGATCCTTGGGTATTTATAACTACAGAAGTATGGTTTGAGATGATCTTCTATTTTTAAGTATGGTCTGATGTGATTTGCTCTATTTAAGTATAGTCTAATTCACTCTGAGACTGAATTAAATCTAAGTAAAACATCCTCATACTAATAATACTGTTTATGGCACCGCTGCTCAGACTTTTTATTTACCAAATAAATTATTATTATTTTAATGTACATAGTACTGTATGAATAACTATACAATAATATACGAGATGAAACAATTTACTACGTATAAATTATCGACAACTTATAAAGTATCAACGTTAAAATCTACACCCAATTTAAATGGCCGATAGAAACAATTTATATATACGAAGTACTTGTATATATAAAGTATCGACAATTTAACAAAGCTGCCATTAAACAAAATTGTTTTATTAATATACGAACTTTGAAGTAATAAAATTGAAGACATACCTTATCCTCCTAAAATGTAACTCTGAATACAGCTACAAATTAAATAAAGAAATTTGCTCTGCATTGTAAATACTCCAGAGAGAATAAGAATGATACTCCGGAGAGGCGTAGATAATTGTGTTGAGATGAAACAAAAAAAAAATGAATGGAGGAAAGAGATTATAAAGAAGTGCCAGAAGATAAAATTTAGTAAAAACGGACCGACGTAGTGGCATAAGTTGGTAAAATGAATTAATATATGGTTGAGAAAATTAAAACACTGCCTGCAGGATTCAATGCACTGCTCAGCTATTTATTAGGGAGTATTTTTGAATATTCAATGCATAGCTCAGCCGACCTATTTTTTATTTTAATTCCTTTCAAATCCTATTCAATTTTAAATACGGTGGTGTAGACCTTAGAGAGGAACTCCATTCCTAGCTACAGGAATTATTATGGTATTGTTTTAAATTATTAAATAGAGGAACCAAATTTCCTTTCTAAATTGTTAAAGTTCCTTTCTAATCCAACTAAACAACGAATATGCTTAATTCCTAGCCAAGTTCCTATCTAAATTACATACGATTATATTTCCCTACCAATTTCCTCTCTATTTCAACATTTTCTAGTAGTGATGAATCCTTTTCACTTCTTTAATCATCGTTCTTTCGAACTCGTCTCTTGAACTCTAAAACTCGTTTAATTTCTTTGAACTCAACCCTCTCTTTTCTTGGAAGCAGAAATGCAAAACAACTCACACATAGTTCACCGCTTTCAATTCGTGAGTTCTTCTTTCATTATCTTGTGCGATCTGGTTTTGCAAAAAGGAGCATAAGGTTTTTGTGTTTTCACCGGCGATGTTCATTGAACTCTAACGTAGGTTATGTCTTTCCAAACCAATTGGCCAAGGCAGTCCTCTATTTTCTCGAGACTTATTTTTATTTGTTAGTTTTTATGTTAGTTTTTATTTTTCAACGAAGTCGGAGTAAATCAATCTTGTTGTATGTGAGCTAGATATCAAGTTATTCATCTTGATTCAATAAACTGTTGGAAAAATGTGTGAAAAATTGCATTAAATGGCTATTTTCGGGCAATTTTTTGAGTGGGGTCCACTTCCGATTTGGGTCGGGTCAAAGTGGTTTCGGATTGTCATTGTTCAGGGCTACAATTCGATATACGGTACGCTCAAAACGGATAACGAGTGAATGAGAAATCGTTTTTCGAAGTTTACCCGTTAGAATGGAAAAACTGGGAAAAAGGATGGGTTTCTAGTGTGTTAATTTCCCACACCGGAAAACCCAAGGGATTTGCTACCCTTTATAAAGGGACTCCCCCCTTATGGAGTTAAGATTCTTAAGGGTAAAGGCTCTCTCCACGCGCGTAGGGGGGTGCAAATCAAATCCCGAATTCGGAGAAGAAAAACCGCGACTTGCGTGCGCGGGCGACCTGCGGACACGAATGTCGTCCAGAAGTCTTCGGACAGAAGCCTACGGATCAGAACACCTCGTTGGAGTTCTGATGGCCGCCCATCAGAGTTGGGGGTACTCTGATGGCCGCGGATCAGAGTTGGGGTACTCTAATGCCCAACGTTCTTATCTTTTAATGCAGCGTTAAATGGACAGTTCATGGACGATTCAATGCCCAACGGATCAGAAGCCTACGGATCAGAACACCTCGTTGGAGTTCTGATGGCAGCCCATCAGAGATGAGGTATTCTGATGGCCGCCCATCAGAGTTGGGGGTACTCTGATGGCCGCGGATCAGAGTTGGGGTCTTCTGATTGGCCTCCGATCAGAACCCCTCCCGGGGAAGTTCTGATGGAGGTCTTCTCTCGCACTTCTGAAACGTTACAACAATTAATGCCCAACGTTCTTATCTTTTAATGCAGCGTTAAATGGACAGTTCATGGACGATTCAATGCCCAACGGACTGGTCATTGATGTCCAACGTTCAGGTCCATTAATTCACCATTTACACACAACAAATCCTCCTATATAATGGCTGGCAGGTGGTTTGCAACAACACACGTTCTTACACGAATTCATACACGTTTTAGCTCTAAAAACACACTGCTAGCATTCTGAAAATTTCCTGAGTGTTCAGACTTGTTCTCGTTCGTTGGAACTTTTGTTTGTGTGCTCAAACATTAGTTCGTAGTCATCGTATCATGGGAAAAGATTGTTGCAACGCTCCTAGCACCGTGGGAGGCAACAAATACGTTTTAAGGACATCGTGCGTAGCACGAGCTTTGACTAATTCTGCTTCATCTCCTTTCTTGTTTTTCTCTAGTCATTTTATTTAATTAATTTATTTTAATTAATTTTCTTTATTTTCCGAAACACACCCAACATAAACTTCTTTTTAAATTTATGAATACGTACTATTTTTTATTTAGCGAATGATAACATTATTTCTTTGATAATAAAGGGGAGTCAAAATACTAGAGAAATTAAAAGATCACAACTTTATTAATTGATCGATAACAAAATTTCGAGTTAATCGATCATATTCTATATTTGTCCATGACACTTGTATACATTTCCATCATATATATGACATGATCTTAATTTATCGCATGATGCCACATTGCCACGTTTATTGAGTCTCTTTTTCTGTTTATCAATTATCACCTGCCAATGATTAATATAACTACCTCTCCCTAGTGAAGCCATGATTGTCTACACATGTGGAGAACCGAGTGGGCTTAATCTCTTGCCCAATTTCTCACGAATCTCACTATATAAGTCTCATGACTAGACCCAATCCTATCACCCAAAAGATTGTTCGTTATTGATCCTAATACTCGATCAATGAGTATCACAATAGTAATTGTATCCCCAGGACGGGCGGTTCCACGAATTTGGATTCGACTGGGCTTGAGAGTAATTGTATTAAGGGAGTGTTTGCGATTGCTTGTGCTTTTTAAAAGTGATTTTTTTAAGAGATTATTGGAAAAGTGATTTATAGTAAAAGTATGTAGTGTTTGGGAATAGAAGTGATTAAGATGAAAAAGTTAAACTGGAAGTGTTTGGTAAAAAAGTGATTTTTAATGGAATATTTTGTTTAACTACAAAAATGCCCTTGACATATAAAATTTTCAAGCATCTCTCCCTTGCCCAGCGCGCCTCAAAGCCGATCTTGTCTTTCAAAGCAGGTAGTATGAGGCACCATCTCTCCTGCAAGGGTGCAATTGCTTCTTTCAATTGAAAAAATAGAAAGCCGTATAAGGTAGCATATATTCCTCCCTGCAAATCTGCAATTGCTTCCTCTTTTGTTCGAAATTGCTTCTTGCAATTCATTCATCTGTTGAAAGACATCACAACGATCTATCCCAAAAGACATGGAAGTCATATAGGACGGGCTACCTCAACAGATCTGGAAGTCAAGCTGTGGCGGTGATCCTGTTCACGGCAGCCTCAGAGCGCCTGGGGCCTTGCGCTCTCCTTCCATCCTTCTGGCTTCTTGTTAATTAATAAAACTATATATATACATATAATTAATTATATATAATTATATATGTATATAATTATATATGTACGGAATGAGCAGGTGAGGAGCTAAACGGGAGTTATGGAGTCGGGGATGAAGAAGTACCGAAGGAGATGGGGGTATCTTTGGTCCAAGCTAAATAAATGTTCCATTATAACTATCCTAAAAGTTTGAATTAATTACAAAAAAACCAATAAGCAGTTAAAAGCACCCCAACTCCAACTTCCAGCTTTTGGCTTTAAAGTACTTTTTTTAAGTAGAAGCAGGTGATTGCAAACACTATTTTCTGCTTTATTTAAGTTAAAAGCTCACAAGTGCTTTTTTTAAGTGTTAACAAACACTACTTAAGACTATTGCAATGCAATGCAATGGAATGAAGTATGTAATGGAATAAAAAGTGTAACATAATGGAATGAAATCATTATTCCATTACTATGTTTGGTTAGCAGCGCGCGACAGAACACGCGAGAAGAAGGAAAAGTGCAGATTTGAGAGGGAAAATTCATCTGACGGGAGAGGGAGTAGTTGGTTGCACAAAAAAAATACTCCCTCCGGTTTTTATTAAACTTCACACTTTCCTTTTTGGGACGGTTTAAAATAAACTTCACACTTCCTTATTTTCTTTTTTGGCAAAGAAATATACATCAAAACAGTGCCAAACAGTGTCTCAACAGTGCCAAAAGTGTCTCAACAGTGTCAAACAGTGTCTCAACAGTGTACTCTACTGTAAAATCAAATTTCTTTCCTTATTTTGTGTGAAGTCAAAGTGTGAAGTTTAATAAAAACTGGAATACAAAAAAGAGTAATCACAAATATATAACATTTCTAATGTAAAGCCTATTACATACTTTAAAGTAATGGATTTGATATAAGTAATTCACATTACATTACGGTTTATAATAAAATGACATACCAAATATTTTATTCGAATCAACATGTAATGTTCATTACATTACATGATTGATTACATTATAGCAAACATAGCCTAAGATTAATTAAACATTAATATGGTGAGCTAAATTAATATAATTAAAAATGAAAAAAATTACATGGTATAACAGGCTATGCCCAAGTAATTTATGGATTCAGTTTGGAAAGACTAATAATGTCACCCTAGCTTTTACCTTTGTCGATCATCTTCTCATATATAATGTCGTGTGGTACATACTATGTATATATAAGTTGGTCTAATTAATATATTACCTCCGTCCCGTTGGAATGTTCCCACTTTCCTTTTTTGGACGTCCAAATGGAAAGTTCTCATTTCCCTAAATGGAAAGTTATCCTACATCAAAACAGTGTCAAACAGTGCAAAACAGTGTCAAACAGTGTCAAACAGCGTCCAAACAGTGTCCAAACAGTAAAATTTACCCCCTGGTAAGTTTATTTCCTTAATATGTGTGTAGGTCAAACCGGGAACATTCCAACGAGACGGAGGGAGTATAACCTAACATCGTGATGGCTCCACTGGTATAACAAATTTTGTTAGTAATATAACGGTTCGTGAATAATACAATAATACGTACATTCGTATATAATACGATACAATTATATAAAATACGGCTAAATATATGTTTCATACGTCCTTGAAATGAATAAAGATACGAACGTGTTTTAAACGTTTCATAATTTAAAAATACGACATATAATACATGTCTTATAGACTAATTTAATGATGAGAGTAAGGAGTAATTTAGCATATGCATCACATT